AGATGTACTGGTGAAGAGTAAAATTGGACCCAGTTGGACTAAGTTAATCGTCAACTATTTAGTGTTATTTGGGTTTGATACACATATTAATAAACACTCATTGGGCAGTTGCAAAAAAAGGCAAAAGCACTGACCAAGACACATAGTTGTGCTACTGTGCAAATCACATCTAAAATCTAAATGCTCTCCTATTGACAGAATTCCTCAGCACTGCAAGGTATGCCTGTTCAGGTTTAAGTGTGAGGTCAAGGGTCTTGAAAGATACTGTTTTCTGTGTTGTCCTTTGAGAGAAAACGCTGCACACTTCCTTTCTTCCTTCCTTTCTTCCACCATGCGACCAACCAGCCTGTCTGGCACTTGCAAGCACAAATGGCAGTACTTGCTCTTCTCTGACGAATATGCTGAGGTGCTCAGTAATGTGATTAGTAGTTTGTGAACCAGAACATTCCTTGCATTGCAGCAGTAATCTATAGTGTTATTGAACGAGAAGATGGGAATTACTACTACATATCAAAAATTCCAGTTAAGCAACATCTACATGCTGGTAAAGTGATGCAATAGAATAATTCAGTTAAAGCTATTCATACAGACTGAAGGAGACATTAGTGTAAACACTGTGTGTGTGTTCCTTTGTGCTGTGTGTTAGAATGATTGTTAGCAATTTTTTTTTTCTTTAAAGAACTGTTAAAGTAGACTAGGGCCTAGAACATCACTCATCTGATTTTAATATTCAGGAGGACTGTGTTTTGTGAGCAGCTTTCTCTGTTTTTGCTGGGGCTATATTGTTTTGAAAATCGTTAAATGAATGCTGCTTAGCTGTAGGATGCATGAAATGTTACAAACTGATTAGGCTAGACTAGGAGTGGGTGATAACGCAAAAATATAATGTTATGATAGTTGAAGAGAGTCTCCCGATACACTATGCGATTTCAGAATATTTGGGTTTTCTGCAGTAAAACTTCCAAGTCCAAGTTTTGTTTAACGTCTCACATACTTTGCTACATTAAGTCCAATTAGAAGTGTCTCTTTCTTGTAGGCTATGGAAACAGCAGTCTTCAGACAGCAGCCGGCCACAGCTGTCAGGAAGTGCTCTTAAGAAAGGTGAATATGCGAAAATAAACCTGCATAGAGGCAGTCATTTTCAGTCATGACCAATACAAATGGAAACCAGTTATACAGGTCTGTGGGTGGGAGCGGGACTAATCTTGTGGGAGCTGGGACTAAATCCAGTTAATATGGACTAATTAAACTCTTTTGCAATGATATATGCTGATGGTCAGTCTTCTTTAACTACTGATGATAGTAAAAGCACATATTATGTGTTGTCACGTAATTTGTCACGTTAAGGATAAAACACAGTTATGTTGCCCACAGTTAGGCTAGAGATGTAGGCCTCTTAGCCACTGTACTTTGTGCACCAATGCATACCAGATTCCCAAACTCAAACAAAAGAAACAAAAGGAAAGCGTGACTTGGTATATTTTGAAAGCTGTTCACACAAAGTGTGTGGTGAAAGTAGGGAGTGGAGGAAATTGCACATGCTGGGCTTGGCTTTGAATGTCCTGTCTGTACATGCCAGCTTGTACTTGACTTGTCTAATCACACGCGCGCGTAATGCACTTATTCAGATTTGGCAATGACATGCAGTGACTAATGTATTACATATTAATTTACATTCTAATGTGCATTACTTGTCCCTAGGACTGGGTATCATTTTAATGCAGATACCAATACCGATACTTGGACTTAAGTACTGATACTTCACTATGGCACTTTTTTGAATTACAAGCCAAAAGTAAGTGTAGCTTAAACCAGAGAGATGCAATAAGTGAGTATATTTACTGACTGCAAGGGATTGCAGACCAAGCAATAGTTTAGACAGCCAATCAGCAATCTAGGAAGAAGTGTGCTTATTGGCTCATGGATGCTGATGAGATCAACTACTTGAGTTCTGAAATATAGTACTGAATGAATTTTTCAATACTCTGTAGTATTGTAGTAACTTGTTTGGCACCATAAAGGTATTGAATTTTGATACCAGCCCTACTTGTCCTTATTATTAATACGCTTTAAGCTTTAAAAGAGCATTACAGCAGATGCTAGAGGTGGCGTATTGCTATTCCTGGATATCGATATTGGTCCAGTATCAGCAGAGTATTATGGATTGGAAATAGAAAAACAGAATCAATCTGATTCAGTCCTGTAAAAAAAAATAAATAAATAAATAAAAATAACTTAGTAGAATGTTTAATTAGTTTGAACATGATAATGTACTTTTAGATGTTCATGTATAAGGCCATTGCCAAAAAGTGACAGCTGCTTTATCTACTCTTTTCCTTTATTGATGCAATTTCTGAATGCTATTGTTGCATGCATTTGATATTTAAAACATTTCTAACAAAGCCAAAAATTCAAAGATTTTTATTTAGTTTGTCACAAATTTGTCATCATTTTGAACAAGAAAACAAAAGTAGGAATATAAGTCACACATCCATTGTGCTTCATCATCACTCCGATTAAATAAAACAATAATTAGCTGCATGAGTTTTAAATGAGCTTGTAGTGCATCCACTAATAAAGAATGCCTCATGCGTGTTTTATACAGTGATAGAAAACATGGTAGCAAACAGAAAGCACTGATTCGACACTATAATTTTACTCCTGACAAAATTGAGTACATGCAGATTTAAACATGCTGTGTTTATGTGAAGTGCTTCAACTAAAAACAGCTCTTTTTTTAAAGGTTTGTACTTCTTAAAGAGAAATGTCTGTATCTGATGGTATTCAAGGTTTCACTATCTGTATTGCTATCTGAAGTGTTTATCAGTCATCGCTAGCAGACGCACAACATGATGAAGTGAGCCTTCAGGAGAAAAGTTGAAATGTAAACTGTGTTTGATTCTACCAAGAAAAATGCAGCATTTCTCTCTGCGTGTTTATATTATCAACGTTTCTTAAAATACTTCAGTAAATCCAGAAATAATGCCATGTGAGCTAATAAGTTTCTAAATAAACAAAACAAGCAGATTCTGTCGCAGCAAGTGGGAGTTGGTTTACAGAAAGAGTGTGTGTGTTTGTGAGAGAGGTGGGGAAACCATCTGTCTCGTTTAGTCTATCAAGATTTGGTTTTATTTTATAGAGCTTGGCAAAGTCTCTGGTCTTACGAAGAGCAGCAAGAGTGTGTGTGTGTGTGTGTGTGTGTGTGTGTGTGTGTGTGTGTGTGTGTGTGTGTGTGTGTTAGAGGTGGGTGACTAATGCTCTGTTTCAGCACTGTCATTACACCTAAGCTAATAATCAACCTACAGCCCTCACACACACACACACACACACACACTGAAACACACAGTCTCACACTCAGCAGGCAAAGTTACAATGTCGGGCCAAGAGGGTAAGAAAAGACAAATGGGCTGCTTAATACCACATCTCTCCTTCTATTCTCACACCTACACACGTGTGCGTGTGTGTGTGTGCGCGTTTGTGAATATCTCAAGGTTACTTTCAGATGGTCGTTTCTGAGAGAAAATGGTTGTTACAGATAAAGAGAGAGATGGAGTGAAAGCAAAAGTCAGAATTTCTGTAGGTTGCAGGAAGTCACTGAGAGGAGGATTCAACTAATGGACTTCCTGACTTGTCTGTGTCGTGTGTGTGTGTGTGTGTGTGTGTGTGTGTGTGTGTGTGTGTAAGAGAGAAAGGGTCTCCTGTGATAGTGCCTCCTTATTAATTTAATCCTTTTACAGCCTTTTACAGATGTCTTCTTTATTTTTCTCTCTTCTGATAGAACCTTTAAACATCAGCAAACACCACCATCCACCCCCTCAAGCACACCCACAGTTTATTTAATTTGTGGCAAATGGCCTTTAAAACAAGTGCAGAGAAAATAAACTGATCAAAAAATGTGACAGTTTTACAGTATAATAAAAAATATCTGTTTTGGTCTATTACAGTATATGTTTATTTTTAAGTAGAAACCTTTTCAATGCTTAAGTAAACCTATTTTTGTAGGTTAACAGTGACATATTGTGGGATGTCCCTTCACTTTTTAATAAGACCCATTTAACAACCAAAGTAAACATGAAATATGTTTATTGTGCAAGATGGTAAAAGTAAAACTGAACAATATATAGATAAACCTATGTCAGTGTTGCTTTCGGGCAAAACCAGTGCAGCTTTTTTGTTAGAATGTTCCATCCCAGCCTAAATAGGGCAGCAGTAACATTCTGGCACCTGTACAAGCACCTGGATGAAACTGTTGCACCATTTAAGGCGGATCGGGAATGTCAAATAAAGAGCCTACTTCAGCTTTGTCAAATTTGTCTCATACGTGCGTCCCATGTACTTGTGCCTCTGACTGTCAGACATTGCTGAAATTTGGAAAATATTGCAGTCACACTATATTGAAGCTATAAGTAATAGCTTGTTGCGCAGACAAGGCCGGGAGACTGTGATGCCGTCTGATGAAGCTGACAGAGTCAGACAGTTCCTCAGCCAGGCCTCATTGGTCTGGTGTCTGTGTTATGCTAATACTTATCTATACTTATTTGTGGCAAACCATTATATTGGTTCTGACAAAACTCATACCTGAGGAGGAATTTTGACTGGTGTACTGAGAACTGGAGACTTAGATAGATAATTTCATAATGTGTTTTTGAAAATTGCTTTTATGTTAATTTTCCCAGCCCAGTGATATCCTATTGTCAATATAAGCCACAAAGAAGTGGCAAGTGAGTCTCTTTTACCAGTGCACCTGGCCTGCAGTATGCAGCTCTGAGGCAAGCAATTCACTTTAAAAATTGTGTATCGAAGGTTGTGTGAATGTTGGCTAACTACAGAAAAATATACTGTATGCCTATAAAGTACACGTCGCTTCGTTTATAACAACTGCAGACATCTGACAGCTCATTCTCAGCCCAAAGTTTGCTTTATTTATGGCAAATAATGCTGTGTTTGGTAACCGCTGTGCATGATATACTAACTAGTGATGCACCATTTGTTTACAACAGACGTGGACTGCAGAGCCAATCTACCAAAGAAGTCTATGTCTCCGGCACATGACGAAATGTGAAGAACCAGTCTCGTATGAAGAGGCCACTCTAGAGTGTTTCAAAGTAAGTGGAGAGGGAGGAAGTTGTTGCTAAAATAGGTGGTGAACCACTGGTTTGAGGTACAATAACTTGTAGATGGGAACAGATGGAAATGCATTTTAATCAGTATATTTAAAAAGCCAATGGTGGGGTGTCTTGTGATGCACTAAACTTTTGCATAGAACTATAACATTGCGCTTTACTTAGCTGTGCTCATGGTGACTGCAGTTGGAGCACTTTGATTGTGGCTTTTTAGGTGCAGCTGTGTGTGTGTGTGTGTGTGTGTGTGTGTGTGTGTGTGTGTGTGTCCTTACAGGCAGCAGAGTAGCACGTTTTTCATGTGTAGTGGTTGTGAGATGTGAGCCTTTGGCTCTGCATTCCTCTCTCATAGCCACAGAGACAGGAACAAGTGTGTTACACAGCATATGGGATACACTCTGCTTGCCCGGTGCCTCTCCACATACACACACACACACACACACACACACACACACACACACACACACACACACACACGGCTGAAACAGCGTAATTGAACACTCAGGCACCCGAACACTCACACAACGAGTGCTTTGAGATCACAGAGACGGGGGTGTGGAGGATGGGGGCAGTTGACAGTTGAGAGGGAGAGAGAGAAAAGGTAAGAAGGAGAGGTCCAGGGGAAGTGAGTAAAATTGGAGTGGACTTTTGTTTTCCAGGTGCAAATTAGACCTAATCTTATGTTAAAGTTTTAGTGGTCAATAACACTATTGGGACTAGGACTCAGTTTAGTCTTTGTAAATAAATGCTGTTGCGGTAGCTTTCAAGAACTATATAATGGGTGGGATTCACTCTGAGGTGATGGTTAGAGCACGGAGAAGCTCAAAAGTAAACTGTCTTCACTTTTCATCACAGCAGCAGCAACCTTGAGTCAGTAGTCAGTATTTTGGCACATATGCATGTTTGAAAGAGGAAAAAAAATAATAATCGTGAACAACTAAATGTTCAACTAATAGGGGCTAAAGATCATATTCAGCACAGCAACATCATTTTGTTTAGTTTTATCAGTGTTACAACACAATGGACAGTCATGTGCAAAAAAATAAATTATGTTTTGTTTTTTTTTTTTAAATGAAAAGTTTTTAAGTGAAAAGTTATATATGAAATACTCAGTTCTAGAGAATCGTTCGCTGTGATGGTGATAGGAACTGAACATCTAAAGTGTTTAGTGCCTCTAAAAGCTCACTCACAGAAAGTTATTACATGAGATGGTTAAGAATACACTACTTGATGCCTGAGACATTGTTTTTTAACCTGAAATCTCTTGTGTAATACTTTAATGGCAGAGAAATGCATGCAGGGCATTATAGGGCAAAATAAGTCCCCAAAGAAAAAAATGTTTCACCTTCTTTTTTTTTTTTTTACCATTATTTAACAACTCAGAAGATATATATATATATATATATATATATATATATATATATATATATATATATATATATATATTTGCTAAAAGTGAACCTATATAAATATAATAAATAAAATGGCTGTATTAGACATTGCAACCCCTGGTTCCTATCAGCGCCATGATAAAGAAGATCTGAGTAGGTATGTTTCTCTGCAATGCATCGTTTCACATTAAACCAGTCTGAATAACTTTGTTTACATCACAGTGACTGAATTATACATGGTGCATATTATTAAATTATGCATATCATTACATTACATTATTATATTACACATTAAAGCATTGTGTAAAAGTAAATTAATAAGTATTAATGTAGCTGTCGCTCTGTTGATATGCATATCATATATACGATATATTGCAGTGTCAATAATTTAAACACAGCCCCATCAGTTTCATTCAAAGTGTCAGTGTGAACCTTTGCTGCCTGTGAAAAGTGTCATAAGAAATGGCTAAGCATTGCTTTTAACATCACTCGCGTCTCCTTATGTAGTATTTCCAAGGTCTGGAAGAGGGTCAAGCCTAAGTGGAATGACTCATATGGTTTCCACCTTCAATGCCTAGAGCTGTATTGCTTTTGTAACTTTCCGACTCTTCACTTTAGATATAAAGAAAACACATCCACATATTTGGACACTGTGACCTAAACTCGCTGACCCATGCTCAACATGTTGCCCCCTCTCAGAGCTCTTGTGAGAATCCGTTAACTAGACCTAACTAGGATCAGACTTTAGTGTTGACTTTAGGACTGCTGGTAACGATTGTGTAGCAGTCCATTAATCTATAGCGCTTGTTCATCCATGCAATAGGTAATCTAAAAGACTAAGTCTCAAAATAAAAAGCTACTGGATAATACAAAGTTCCAACAATTCATTAAAACAAGTGAGATTTTCATCTGCTAATCATAGAAAGCTGTGCTGTAGCATTTCATGCACGGACAGTCTTCCCATTCATGATATGAACAGGGATTTTCATTATTCTAAACAAAAGCAGATGGCATTTGATGTAATAACACTCATAGGCTACAATAACAGTAATTTGTATGCTAACTTAAGACAGTAAACTTCAAATGTAACAAAAAATGATTTATTTTGAATTAGGAAGTGTTTAACGTATAGGAAGAACCCTAAGAACAAAGCTAGCTTGTAAATTTCTTTATAGAAACACATCACTGCATTACCTTCCGTGCTAAAACAGGTATTGGGGAAAGGTGCGCATACTGAATGAGAGTGGAATTGTCAATTATTTCATAATTGCTCAATTTTTTTTAATTGATTGCAGTTTATAAAATTGTTTAAAATTATATAAAATGTATAAAATTATATAAAATTATGGCTGTTATTTATTGTGACTGCAGTCATTTTCAACAGTGGTTAGATTTCAGTTATGTTATGCTTCTACAACCAAAATATGAAATGTGTGCTTTGGGTTGAGACAAATAAATGTAAATAACAATGTTAATGTTAGGAGAAAGCTAAGTTTGTGGCACTTTTCTATGTATGCAGAAAATACACTCAAACAGTATGACCGTGAATGTGCAAACATGTTTTTACAGTATTGATGTAGTCAATAACATTGACGAATTGCAGCAACTCTACAAGTTTATAACTAACTTAAGCTTAAGAGTATCAGTGAAGCTTGAAGACATGAGAAACGGGGCTCTAAAATTCCAAAAAAAATCACTTAAAAATATGTTTAGAGATGATAGCCACTGCTAAGCAGATACATCAGAGAGAGAGAGAGAGAGAGAGAGAGAGATCCACAGACTAATGTGGATGAGTCAGCCAATTACTGCTGATGACAGACCGTAATGACTGAATGAGTCCGTGAGTTCGCCAAAATACATTAACTATAATCACACACATACACACACCACACATAAACAGAGTAATCTGATCTCCGTAGGCTTGAAGGTTATTGGGGGCATCTGGTCTGTAAATTTAGAACAGCTGATATTAAAACAATTACAACAGTATTTTTCAATACTATACAGACCTGATCATCAGGGCATCATGTCTTCTAAATAGCGATACTGTCTGTTTGAATGGATATATATATGTTTTTTTTTTTGTGGAGATTGATGAAGATTAAAAAAAACTGAACACTGGTAAATACACTATGAAGCTGGTACATTGGAGAATGATGATTATAGATGTAGAGACATTCCAGAGCAGAAAAGGAATTTCCTATGGGTTGTCTGGATTCTGGGAAAAACACTGAATGGTGAATGAGGAGGTGATGTTGCTGTCTAGCGTTGATCACTGATGGCAGAGTTACAGGGCACTCTAAAGCACTGGACTTATTATTGCTCCAAAAGACTGCTTCTCTCAATGGTGAGGCATTATGGGGCTAGACTAACATGTTAGATTAACTACCAACATAATTAGGCTTTGACAGAGGAATCAAACAATGATGTTTTGATTTGCTGTAGGTGACGGCAATTTTGTGAGGGGAAAAAATGTCCCTCTAGGCCTTCTGAAAGTCGTATACTCATCACCGATTGAGAATCGCAGGACTGACCGTTCTATGCCAGGGCACTGTAAGACTGCAACATGCGGGGTAAAATATACTGTCAATGTCAGAACAAAACCTCTATTTTGTTGTTTTTATTTACTTTTTAGTTGGGTGAATTTTTTTTATTTTATTTTATTTTTTTTACACAATTTGGAAATGCCAGCTGCTGTTTATACTGTGTACAAATGTTATCGCAAACAGATTAAAAAAATGGTCAAAATGACTGAACAAAAATGTGTGACTTTAAATTAAAAGTTGAGAACCTTTTTCCTTCTTCTGCAAGGTTTGTTTTATAGAGATATGAGGTTTAGTTCAGCTGATGTCTGTTGTAACTTTCAAATAAAACATGTCTTTTGCAAACTTTAAATGTCTTGTGTTAAATCTAGAATTGCAAAAAAATTTTTATGTGCCCCAGCGTTAGCTTAGCACTAACCTACTAGTTGGAAATTCCATTGATGAATTGGCAGAAATTAGCATTATTGTTGTGGCTTTTGTCATTTATTACCTGAACTGAAGGCTTGGCTCCAATACTAAGAGTTCACCACTGACCGGTTGTGTTAGTCATCCATTAGCCCTTCATCAGTGGTCAGTTTCTGACCAAGTAAAAACTCCGGCAACACTGCACTGGTGCACTCTTAGTAGCAAAACATACACTACCATTCTGCTACCATGTCAGAGGTAGTGCTGTGTCTGGTCCATCACCCAGATAATACCTGGTGAACAGAGGTCCTGTGGTCAAAAGTGAATGGGAGAGAGTATGACTAACAAACTATCAAGTGAAACAGATGGGCTACAGTCTGTAATTGTAATTTCAGAAGGACTTGTAAGGCAGATGGAACTCCTAAAGTGAGGAGAAGCATAAGGTTAGCATTTCTAATAAAGTGGACGGTCAGTGTGTTTGCCTTTTTCCAGTAGGTCTGGATTCAGTTTTATTTTGCAACTTGCAGCTTATTGTTTAAAAAAACAAAGTTAAACTCTCATGCAATGACACCAACTAACTCCATTGTGTGGAGTATTCCAGCATGCATGCCTTTGCAGTGCTTCATTATTGCATAACTTCTTTATT